TTTAATTATACTATGAATGTGTGTGTGTGCACTGTACTCAACCTGTCTGCACTGTTTTTGATTCATTCGTTTTTATTAAATTAACTTTATCGTGGTGATTTTTTTATTATTCTTGCCTGTAAAGCACCGTGAATAAGATGCTGTAGAGTTCATACTCCTGCTTGTGAACTCCTGAAAGGACAAATGACACAATCAACTCTTTAAAACAATATTTTAATTCCAAACCAGGGACAAAATAGTATCAAACCCAGCACAATTTAAAAAGTTAAAAAATCTATTAATTTGATTGTTAAGTAATTAGAACTTTTTTTGTTGGTCGAACTCCAGTGGATGAGTTAAATGGATTAAAGTGAATTTAGCTGTTTAGCTACCTCCTGAATTACTGTGTAAAAATGTAGAACATACTTTAATTTTACTAAAACTTACTTTTAGACAGTGGGCACTATAGAGTGAAGAGCAGAAGTGCTCGTCACTCCACAGCATTAGCCTATATGGCTAATACGAAGAAGTTGGTTTATCCCACGTACCCTGAAGGCAGCAAAAACACAAAACAGAGATTACGCAACAGAGGGACTTCGCTCTCATGGCATTGTGGGAGATGTAGTCTCGCACCCCCCTCTCCTACTGGCCTTAAAAATCTAAAGAGTTGCGTTTTAACGAGACAAACCAAACACCACAATGCTAATGCTAACCATAGCATTGTGGAGGCAGAGAGGTGCGTCCCTCTTATCTCTGAGGGGATTCTTAAAGACCGTTGGTGTGTGTAGCGCCCTCCGGTGGTCACTTTGCAATGTGCAATGACGGCCTCTGAACTCGAGCAGCGCGTCTTCGCTGGGAGCAGACAACACACAGGAAAAAACACGGACTCCATTTCATACTATACTGTGGGTTCTGTGGATGTGGACTGTCCAGAGTCTCAAATCTTTTTGGAAAGAGATGCTACACCTAAATTTTCTGAATAGTAAGTTTTTTGATGTGTCACCTCAAACTAGTTTCAGTTCTCCTCCACGGTATTAGTG